GAGGAGGGAAGAGGAAGGGAGTAGGAGAGAGGAGGAGGAGGAGGAGGGTGGGGAGGAGGATGATGAGGAGGAGGAGGATAGAGATGGATTGACGAGGATGGGAAGAGGGAGGAGAGGGAACATCAGGAGGATGGAGGAGAGAGGGAGGAGAGGGAGGAGGAGGAGGCGGAGGAGGAAGAGGAGGAAGAGGAGGAGGAGGAGGAGGAGGAGGAGGAGGAGGATTGAGGAGGATAATGTTCGAGGATGAGATGGGGGATGAGGAGGAGGAGCAGGAGGAGCAGGAGGAGCAGGAGGAGGAGGAGGCGGAGGAGGAGGATGGAGGAGGAGAAGGTTTGAGGATGAGCAGGATGAGGAGGAGGAGAAGGAAGTCGGTGCCACAGCAGGAGGAGGGCGGGGGGAGGGCCCAGGATGCTGGGCCCTCGTGGCGGTTGCAGGGACGCCTCGTGGCCCGCTCTGGGGCTCGTGTTGCTGGCATTCCCACCGTCTTCGAAGCGCTCCGCTCAGAGAGGGGCCCCAAGGTTGATGGGCCTGTTTTCCACCACCACCACCATAAGTTGGAGGGGGGAGGGAGGAGGAGGAGGAGGAGGAGGAGGAGGAGGAGGAGGAGGAGGAGGACCCCCTCCCCCTCCTACTTATGGTGGTGGTGGTGGAAAACAAGCCCACCAAAGGTGGCCCTGGTGTGCGGGGGGGGGGGGACGGTTCCGCCCCCCCAAAAAAATGATACTGGACCCAAAAGCCCGAGGGGGCGAGCGAGGGCCCTGGTCGTGGGTCTGGTGTGCAGCATCTCCTCCCCGTGGCGTGGTCTTCGTGTGCCGAGAGGGGCCCCCCAGGCGGTGGAATCGAACCAGGGCCGTGAGGCTCGAGGGGGAGGCGGGGGACCTGGACCTCCCGGATGGGGTCCGAGTAGATGGGGTCGGAGGATCGCGCCGCATCGCCGATGCATCGCCGATGCGGCGCGATGCGGGGCCTGCTTTTCTCCACGCCGACGCTGCCGGTGCATCGCCGACGTTGCCGGTGCATCGCCGATGCATCGCCGATGCGGCGCGATCTTCCGACCCATCTGCTCGGACCCCATCCGGGAGGCATCTGGAGCACCCCCTCTCTCTCTCCACCCCACCCACGTTGTTTCCCCTTCCACTGCGAGGTCCCCCCCTCGCGGCTGCCCGCCGCCCCCTGTCCCCGCTGGAGGTGGCGCGGGGCCTCCCTCAGGGGCAACGATCGGGGGGGATGGGCAAAGGGGGGGACGCGTCGACCCGCAGTCGCCCAAGGATCGCCGACATGGGTCTGGTAGCCCCAACCCGCCCAGGAAGGTGCGGCTTCACTCTCGGGGTCCCATCGCCGATCTATCGGCGATGCATGCCCGATTCCAGGTCGATGCATCCTCCCCTACAGCCAGGGCCCCGAAGAAGGAACCCTTTTCGTCGGAGAGGGGCCCCGCGTTCCTTGCGTGTTTCGCAGCTTGCCTCGGGCTTTCCTTATGTTTCCGATCGGAAATCGAAGGTTAACTCATGGAAAAAAGGGGCCTCGTTCCTTATTTTGGGCTCCTTGGGTCAAGGCCCCAACTGTAGGCCTGTCCCTCCTCGTCAGTGCCACTCGCCCCCTTGGGCGCGCGCGCTGTCTGTTTCGGCTCCAGCCGCCCCGAGGCGGCCGGGCGCGCCCGCCCCCCTTCCCCCCTCCCGCCCCCTCGGAGGACGCCAACTGTACTCTGCGGTCGTTGGCGTCGGCGGCGAAGTGCGAACCCTGCCCTCGCCGATCCGCGATGCAAGCGAGGTGATGGGCGGCGGGGGTAGGGTCCGGACTTCGTCACACACGTGTGGAAGATCCGAACCCCACCTCTGCCTCCCGTAGATTCAGGAGGGTCGATGGTTGGTGGGGGTAGGGGGAAGGGTGTCGCCACCCATGGTGAGAGCTTGCCTGCTTTTATCCTTTGGAGGTGGAGGCAGCTCGCGGGCTGGAGGCATGCCACATCCATGTCCACGGCCTCCCGGGCTGGGCTCCCTGGGCGAGGGCTTTCCAGGGGTGCCCGGATCGCCCCGAACTGCTGCCAGAGAGTGGAGTTATGACCCGAAAACCGCGGGCCACGTTGTGGGGGGGGGGGCTGGGCTCAGGGTTATGTCGGGCGTGTCCCCCTCCAGGGGGATTGATCTTCGACGAAAAGTAAAGAATACACAGGAATACCGTGAAAGAGGTCAAACATATTCAAAACGTAGTCCCCAGACTTTTCATGTTATTTTGGGGGTAATTCTTATTTTTCGTCGAAGATCCCCCTGCAGGGGGACCGGCCCGACTTAAAGCTCAGGGGGGAAGCCGTCGACCCCAATCGCGTGGATCGCCGACGTGGGCCTGCAAGCCCCACCCCGCCCGGGAGCGTAGGGATCTGCTCTCGGGGGCCCCTCGTCGGAACCTGGAGGCCGTTATTTTCCAGGCTTGCGCCCGCCAGGTTTGGGCCCGAGGTCGTTTTCACTAAACCACGTTTTGCTAAAGGGGGTTCTGTCCATCCCCGAGAAATGAGTACGGAAAAAATTGGTACAATGCCCAACAGCAGTTCCTGATCATTTCGAACCGGACTCGCTGTCCGCGCCGCCGCGGCCTGTGTCCACTGGAGAAAGGCCGCCTTCCCAACGGCGGCCGCTGTTGGTTTGGGACAACATTTGTTGTTGGGCATTGTACCCATTCTTTCCGTGCCCACTTTGGGCGTCCAAATTCTTGGGGGTCGGGGACTTCGTGGGCGCTGGAAACGACAGGGCCGTTTTTTTTCCGGTTCCGTTTTGCCGTTTTGTTGCCGGATCCGACGCCGTTTTTTTACCGGTTCCGTTGCGTTTGTTTGACCGGTTCCGCGGCTCCAGTTCCAATCCTGGAGCCGTTTTTGTTGCCGTCTCTTGTCGTCGTTTCTTTGCCGTTTCCATGTTCAAGGGACAAAATCCTGGAAACGGTGGACAAACAGCCCTGCCGTTTCCAGGGCCCACAAAGGTCGGGGACGACGCTGGGGGTGGTGTGGTGTATACTTTTCCCCCGATGTCCCGGGGAAACAACGAAAAATGTATACACCAGGGTCCCGTATACACCAGGATCCGCTCTCCAGTGCAGATCCGGATGCAGGGCCAGAAGAAGCGTCGGTGTATATAGAGTTCGATTCCCTACATCGCCGATCTATCGGCGATGTATCGCTGATTCCAGGTGGTCGACGCAAACAAACGGGGTCGTCTGCGCCGACATTGGCGCGTAAGCCGAAGTCGGGCCTGTCCCTCTCTACAGGGGGAATGCCCAAAAACAACAACAAGATTGTCGGGGCACTATTTTTGGAGCATTGTTCGACCATTTTGGTGTATGTTTTGACTCTTTTTTTTTCCTCGTCGAAAATCCCCCTGTATCGGGTATAGCCAGGACCCCAGGCAAGGGGACCCAGTTAGTCGTAGGGCCCCGTGGCCCTTGGAATTTGCCAGAATCGCTAAACCAGGTCTGCCGTAGCTGGTGTTCTTCGGGTGACGGGCAGTTCAGGTGAGTGGAACGGGGCGGGGGGGGGCCTCCCCCCAGTACACATCACTAAACCAGGTTCCGCTACAGGATTCGACCATTTTGGTGTATGTCTTGATTTGTTATATAACACACACACACCCCAAAAACAACAAAAAATCGTCGACTGCCGTTGCCACCGCGACTGCGAGAACAGCAGAATTCTACAACTGGATTCTCATCTGAAATGTAAGGGGAATGCTTCCAGATATGCTCCTACACATCGCTGTTAGGTTTGCTTTGCCGGGATATATATATATATATATATATATATATATATATATATATACCCCCAAAACAAAAACAAATCGTCGAACATCCCCCTGTAGGGGGACACGCCCGACTTGAGCGCAGGCTGCCCGCGCACGGGTCCCCCAGCCGCCCACTCGTCGCCGACGGGGGCCCGGCGGCCCGCCCTGGCCCGGGAGCGTGCGGCGAGCTGGCCATCAGAGCGCATCGCCGCTCTGTCCGCGGGGCATCGCCGACTCCAGCGCGAGGTCTCCCCCCTCCCCCCCCTCCCCCTCCTCCTCCCCCTCCTCCCTCCTCCTCCTCCCCTCCTCCTCCTCTCATCCTCCTCTCCTCCTCCTCCTCCTCCCCCCCCCTCCTCCCCTCCTCTCCTCCTCCTCCTCCTCCTCCCTCCTCTTCGCTCCTCCTCCTCCTCCTCCTCCCTCGCTCCTCTCCTCCTCCTCCTCTCCTCTCCTCTTCCTCCCCCTCCTCCTCCTCCTCCTCCTCCTCCTCCTCCTCCTCCTCCTCCTCCTCCTCCTCCTCCCACCCCGCTCCGTTCCGCTCGACGCGAGGGTTACGAGCCACCCAGGCTCCGGATCGGGTGCCCTCGTGTTCTTCATATTTGGGGTGGTCCACCGTGCAGTGCTTTTCGCTCTGAAAGATTGTCTCCGTGGGGCCGTCGGCATTCGGCAAAGGGCCTCGTTTTCTTGGCCCACGTTCTTGTGGCAATGCCTCGATCGAATTTGGCCTAGGATCAGTGCACACGGCACCCTGGCCAATTAGGCTAGGATGGCGCATACATCCGAACCTTCAGCTCAGGATTGGCATGTCAACCTCAGTGTCGGCGTATAGTTGTCGTCCTCATACCTCCCACGCCAGCGCGGGGCATGGGCTTCTAGGAGACCCCCCGCGTCTTTGCTCGAACAACACCAGAAATCTGCACAACATAACCTTTCGGACGTCCGCGCGGATTGCTTCCTTCCTGCCACCCCCGAGGCGCGCCAGGGACGCGGTGCAGGGATGGGGGCCCAGCGCCGACTGCAGAAATCTGCGCCGTCATCGAAAGTTTGTGCTTATGCAGGTTTGTCCTCCTCTCCTCCCGCGCCCACGCTGCACTTCGCCCCCTCTGGGAGAGATGTACTCTTCTGCCCTTGCCGCCAGACCTGCTGTGTACTTGCTTTGCTCCCCGTCCTTCTCTTCCTCTTCTCTCTCGTCCTCCAGTCTCGCTCTTCATCCTCTTCCTCCTGGAGGGGCCTGGGCGATGCTTTCTGGGGGCTGCGGGCCAAGCACCCCTGCCACTGGAGATCGAGTCCGCCCAGTGCTCTCCCGATCGGGTGCTCGGCGGAGTGGGGGCCAGCTCTGCATGCTCACTGCGCACCTCTGGCGCGCGTGAGAGCAAAAAGACTTCCTGTTCTGACTGCGTCTTTCTCCTCTCCGCCTCTCCTCTGCCCGGCTCCTTCCCTGCCCAGCCTCGCGCCGAGGGGGGTAGTGGTTAAGGGAGAAAAGGCTTCGCGCCGGCGCCTTCTAAGGAGCAGCCTCCGTCTAAGACGCCTGACCCCCCCCCCTCCCCCCACCCCCCTCGTGCGCGCGGCCCACCTGCCGCAATTCGTCTCTGGAGGGCCCCTACCCGATCTTGACCAGCACCCGCCTCGCTGGTGCCCGCAGAGCCAAAAAAGTGCGGCGGAGTGACGTTCGACACCCACCCCCCGCTCCCGCAGCGGTGCCCTTCGGAGCTCGGGAGCTCTCCGGGTGTCTGGCGTGCCGGGAAGCTCGAGGGGGAGGAGCGGGTACGTGCAGAAGGAATCCGATGCGTACACACCGTCGCTTGGACGGCCAAGGGGCCAGCGAGCTCAGCGAAGACGCGCGGTGTGCAGACGCCCTGGTAGTTACCCCACAGGTTGAGAAGCTCGGGCGCCCAGACACAACGCCCCTTGGCCGACCAGAGGACGTGGTATACCTCGAGCCCGCTCCAGTACAGGAAGAATCGTCACATAGGAGGAGGAGGAGGAGGAGGAGGAGGAGGAGGAGGAGGAGGAGGAGGAGGTGGAGGAGGAGGAGGAGGACCTGCGTAATTAAGCCCACGACTCATCAACGATTTTAAAAGCACCCTCCCTCCAAGATTCCTGTCTCAAAGACCCCGCCAAAACACCGTTCTCAGGACTTCAACGCCACGAGTTAACCTGACTGTTACGTCTTGGCGATCATGTGTCGTGCCAGAATGCAGTTCCTGGGATTACATCACCGCGAATACACATAACTGGTGCGCCCTGGCAGTCGCGGCCTCGTTCAGAAACACCGTTCCTGGTACGGTAACCATGACAACCAGTCAGTCAAACTCTGGCATTCTCTTTTTAAGAATGCGCGCGGCGCTAAAGCTATAGCAACAGTTTGAAAACGACCCGACTTCAATCCGTTGTTGATTGAGTGTGCGCGGCGCTAAGGCGAGAGCAACATTTTGAAAACGAATGGTCCTCAATCCGCGAAGGTCTTGCAATTTGTCTAAAAGGATGTGCGCGGCGCTTGGGCGAGAGCCACGTTCTGAAAACGAACCGCCCTCAGTCCGTGAAAATTTTGAAATGGTCACGAACCGCCCTCAACTCGTTAAGTTCTTTTAAAGGTTTACAGCAAGTGTGAGCGGCGCGTAGGCAAGAACCGCATTTTGAACCTGCCCTGAATCCGTGAAGCGTTGGCACATGCTTAACACGAATGTGAGGCGCGCTTAGGCGAGAGCCACATTTTGAAAACAAGCCGCCCTCAATCCGTGAAGGTCTTGTTGCATATGTAGAACGAGTGTGCCCGGCGCTGGGGCGAGAACCACATTCTGAAAACAACCCGCCCTCCATTCGTGAAGCTGTTGTACATGTTTAAGCATTAGGGGCATAAGTGGTGAGGAAATCTCAGGCGAAACGCCAGGCCAGCCTGTTCGATCCGGCCTCGAGGTGTGAGAGGGAGGAGCTGTCTAGAAGGGAATGGAAGAGGAGGAGGAGGAGGAGGAGGAGTTTTGTTCCTCCACCTGCTGGTGCGGGGCCGAAGAGCCCAGACTGACATCGTC